CTAGGATATTTCATTTTTCTGGGAGAGGGCTGGGTGATAACTTCCTACGGAACAAAGAAAGGTCTCTGGCAAGCTCTACTCCTCTGCTCACAAGAGAATCCCTTATGCCACCAGGCTCGAAATTTTGGGCTTGGACAACCTGGAACTGTGCCACCTATGGTCTGACCTAAGCGTGGTACACAAAATTGTCTGCTACAACATCCTACCTGTCAATGACTACTTTAGCTTCAACCACAATAATACACGTGCAAACAATAGATACAAACTCAAGGTAAACCGCTCCAAACTCGACTGCAGAAAATACGACTTCAGCAACAGAGTGGTCAACGCTTGGAATGCTCTCACGGCCTCCGTTATTACATCCTCAAACCCCCACAACTCCAACCTCAAACTGTCTACTGTTGACCTCACCCCATTCCTAAGAGGTCCGCAAAGGGGGCGTGCATAAGCGCACCAGCGTGCCTTCCGTCCCTGTCCTACTGTCCCCCCTCTATTCATACTCATTTCTTTCGGTTCTTGCCCGTGTTTATATTTATACCCGCTATCTTGTACATGTTTGACAAACTAATAAATGCAAACGTCAGGGGAAAGGATGGGACGAAAGCTAAATTTGATTTGATTTGATGACGTCGCTACAATTCCAGCAGCCCGCTCATCGATTTATAAGGCAGACTCCCGATTTCTTATTGGTTTGGTTTGCAGCCGGTGGACAGCAAGGAAGAAAACCCACCATTGCCATGGAATAATAGCATTGGATTAAGATTTTAGATTGACTTTAAATCTCTCTCTCTCTCCCTCTCCCCTTTTGTCTGTTAGCAAAGTGAGCCAAAAAAAGGGGGATTCTTTCAGAAGAAGGAAACACCCAGCAAGCTGTGGGGAAGGACCAAGCATCCAAACACCACCGGCATACCGTCAAGCTGTTCTCGGTACAGGTGGACAGCAGGGCCGGGTGCCAATTTCTTTGGGTTTAAAGGAAGTAGTGGGAGGGAAACTTGCGAGAGAACCGCTCCTAGTAGGGTTTAACTTTCCTCTAGCAAATGAGGAGGAGAAGCTACAACATTCTGTTCCAAGCACTCCGTCGAGAATGTTTTTTTGGCAGAGGTGTTATTAAAACCGAGCAGCACGTTTTAGGATTGCCAGCAACCGAGGAAGAAGGAAAAAGAAGAATTAGTCAGGTAGGATGATCAGCTTCGTTCTTCCTGGGTCTGCTGGTTCCCCCCCCACCTCCCCTGAAAGCGGTTTATTATTTTCAGAGTTTTATTTAATCAGGCGGAAGAATCCTGCTTTCTCAAGGCAGAGTTAATGAGGTTAATTAAGGAAAAATAATGTTTCCACCCTGCTTGGAGAGCTGCAGCTTGTTTTAGGAGTTTTTTCTTCTCCCTCCCCCCTTTCCTTTTACAGTTTATTACCTTCTGTGTGTTTTATTAATCACCGTTTGAAGGAGAAGCGTTCCTTTACGTTGTTGTTGTTTTTTTTAAAAAAAGCAAAATCTTCCTGAAATGTTGGAATTTGGAATATGAAGCGTTTTCTCTCCACGTCTCACTTGTTGCACACAGGTTTGGCTCAGCCGTACGGTAGGTTTTATTTTTTGTTTGCTGGGGAAGCGTGGCATTGAAATGGCATGTGTTGCCATCAGCTGATGATTTGGGGGCAGATTTGATTTTTTTTTTGTATGTGCCAGCTGTGCTTAAGAAGGTTGTAGTCAGGTCCTGATTTTATTTTCCTGAGATTGGGGGGATGGAGAGATCTGCTGAAGACTTCGCCTTGTTCGCAAACGAATTGACCAAAATAGCAACAAAACAAGGGGAAATTTTTTTCCTTAAAATGCAATTCCACTTTAGCTTCAGTTTCACTGCTCCCCAAAAGGTCCTTTTTTCCCCCAAGAGGCAACTGGACTGTCTTTATTTTTCCTTGCTTCTCATCTAAGATCCTTTTTTTTCAATTCAGTCTTCTATCAGAACTGAAGAAGCTTCTTGGATGAGAAGTGAAAGGTCCAGTTGTCTCTTGGGGGAAAAAGGCACCTTGGCTTTTTTTGACATGGATGAGCGAGAATCTCCATAGACACTTCAGTTTTGCTGTTGCTAAAAGTGGCGTTTAAGAGGTATGCCATAATTTGCAGAGGCTATTTGGAACTAGGAAAACTTAGATTTTTGTGGCTTTCTTTGTGCATCGGATCCTAAAGAAACACAGACAGAGAGAAACTGGATTTTTTTTCCCCTTGTCGTAATGATTCCCCTGCCTATTCATGCAGAAGCCCCATTGAATTCAGCGGCTGTTCAGTCCAGGTGGATGAATTCGGACTGTTGTTTTGAAAAGGTGTAGCCATTTCAATAGAGCATTTTGGGCAAGAGGGGTATCGCTGTCTAATGGGGAATGATGACTGTAGCTGTAACTGTGATCCCTGGAAGTCTTTAAAGCTGTATTGTAAACGCAGGTCCGGAAGGTCCTATATTTGTGGAGGGAGAATTAAATATTTTTTCTGCGTTCCTGAGATCTCATTATGAGGTGAAGGTGAACCATTTTCACTTTCTTTGGTACAGTTTCAAGAAAGGTTCTCCAGATGAATGGCCATTCGAGAGACAACCGTTGTTCTGATCTAGGCTTCCCGAGAACTCCTTGTCCCGACAAAAACCCCTTTTATTAATTTACTGTGAATTCTGCTCATTCACATCCAGCAAAGTCTTTCAAGGGAGGATTTACAGTCACAGACCTTATCTGGCTTGGAGAGCTGCCAGGCTGATGTCTGCAAAACTTGGCAAGGAGTCTCGGAGAGTCACAAACTCCACTCCCCTTTCGTTCCTCTTTTATTTCCTCTGGGAAGGACCATTCATCGTCCACCTGTGGCCTTACTCGCAAATTCTTTACCCCTGTTCTTTATCTTTTCCCTTCTCCTGGCAACTCTGCGCATGCGCACACCGGGAACAGGCTCCAGCTGTTTGTCTGCCTCGCTGATGTCTGACTCTGAAGGCAGCTGATAACTGTCAGACGGCTTTGGCCCCCTCTCTGCCTCTGACACAGAGCCCTTATCAGAGCCTTCCCCAGACCCCAGCACTGGCCCATGTTCCTCCCCAACCTCCTCACTGTCCGAATCTGCTGCCAGCTCCACTGGCTGCTGGCAGGCCACAACAACTGTATGTGTTCAGTTTTCCTGCCTTTGTAAAGAACATGTCCATGATCATAGTCTATTAAGAACTGTATTTTAATGGAACACGGGTTAGTTAAATCTGATATTTACCACTGGGTTGTGAATTGCTTTCTTAGTCATGTCAAAATTAGAACAAATTTATTGCTGTTCTTATTTTGTTGGTAACTCCAAGGAACATCTGTTTTATGATGATCTGCTGGCTGGCATGTTAATTTTTTCCTTATTTGTCATATTTATTTTTCATGCCACCCATATATTGTTGTTGTTGTTCAAGGACCACAGAATGATGTCCGTGAGATTGTTATTTTAAGCCATATGAAATTCAACACTGCAGGTTTTCTTAAAACTGCTCGAAATTTCAGTGACGTTTCGGCTACGGAAGGAGCCTCTAAATTTCTCTTTAAGCAAAATGCAAAAAATTATGTTGCGTCCCGTGGAAAATAGCACTCTTTTGGATGTTTGCTACTTTTATCAGATGTCCCTGTAGTTTCCCTTAAATTTATTTTCTTCTTTCACAAAAGGGGTATCCATGGTTTTTTTTCCCCTTGATTGTTGTCTTTTGCAAAACTTTAATTGTAGATAATCCTCTTTCATGAAAGGGTAATTCCTATTTTGGAAAGGCAGAAGTTAATAGAGTTGATCATTTTTAAGACNGGGGGGGGGGAGATCAGCAATGGGTGGCAGTTAAGGGATGGAATAGTTTTAATTCGGGGATTTTCGGCGCACACTTCTCAGTTCTGGCTATGGATTAGTGCGATGCACTTGACTTCAAATCATTTGTATTTAGAGGTTTAAGTGGTAGCAAGTCTAACAGTGTCAATGTATAACATTGCCCAAGTAGTCAATGAGGAATGGGAAATTATGAGGAATGATTAACATATTATTCAATATTTCAAATATGATGCACCATACTAGACCATACTAGGCAAAGTACCATCAGCCGTTGTTGCTTTCTGATGGGGCATGAGCATGGCAGCGAACTCTTGCAGCTGGTTTCCCCTTATAATTCTGTCAAGGTACATTTTCTCCAGTATGCCATAGGCTGCAAGCTGCTGGCATCTTTCATCCTTGAAGAGGGTGGCTAACATTCGGGAGCGCTGCTGTCCTGAAACACAGTAAGAATAAGGTTAACTTCTCCAACCTCTTCTGACCCAGCCTTCACAAGCAATAAGAAACTGCTTGCTCACAAGTTAACACAAACTATTTTTGATTTAAGTCAGGGCAGGAACAGTCTCTGTTCACATCGGCCCTATTATTTCCCAGCAGGGAGGCTCCATTGGCACCTCAAATTCAGAGCAATCAGTCCCGACAAACCTGGTTTTGGCAAAGGAATTCAACATGGATCGTTGTACACTGGAAAATTAATGGTTGGGAGACTCCAAAACCTTTATTTATTTCCCAGCCAGGGAGGGGCTGGTTAGCATCTACATCTTCTCTCCCTGCCCCCCCCCCCCTTGAGAGCCGGCTTATTGCTTTCTGTTGCTCTCCTCTCCTCTCTACGCCTACGCACACCTGGAATGGGCCCTACCTATTCCTTCCCCCTCACTCAGCTCAGATCCCGAAAACAGCTGCCTCTCTATCTCGGGGAGGACGGAAGACCCCGGCTCTGCATCTGCCCCTGACCCCGCTTCCTCATCAGAGCTTTCCAAAGGCTCCGAAGCCAGCCCAGATTCCCACTCAACCTCCCCCTCGTCTGGCTCTGCTGCTAGCTCTGCTGGCAGCCGATGGGCCACAACACAACCCAGACACAACATGTAAAATCTGCAATAATTTTTTTTTTTAAAAATCCACTGGATTTGTTTGTCAATCTCAAACTTCAATCTGTCTGTCCGACATGACCTTGTGGTTAAGAAAAGAGGCCATCATGCTGATTAGTTGGGACACAATTGCTGATACCCCTTGTTTAGCGGCTGTCTCAGATAGCAGCCGTTCACGGCTACAAAAGCGATGTTAAACAACATTGCGACCGATCTCATTTACAACCTTCGCAGTGTCTCTCAATCACATGTTCCCCATTAGTCACTTTACAGATAGTCCTTTCTTACAAAAATTGAGCCCAACATTTATGTTGCTAAGCGACAAATTTGTTATGTGAGTTTTGCCCCATTGAACGACTTTTCTTGCCACATGTGCTAAGTGAATCACGGCAGTTGTTTAGTTAGTAACACGGCTGTTAAATGAATCTGGCTTCCCCATTGACTAGGCTTATCAGAAGGTTGCAAAAGGTGATCTGATGACCCCGAGACACTGCAACCATTCATAAGTGTGAGTCAGTAGTCAAGTAGCCGAATGTAAATCACATCACCATGGGAATGGTCATAAATCACTTTTTTTTTCAGTGCCACTGTAACTTGCAAGGGTCAATAAACGAACTGTCGCAAATCAAGGACTACCAAGGCAGATTTTTTTTCTTCTTCTTCAGGCTAAACTGAAACAGGCTGTTTGCTGCAAGGAGGTAAGTCAATAACTATAAATGCCTATAGAATGTTCAAATTANGGGGGGGTGTTCAGAACACATATCATTCCAAATTATAATAATATAGCAACAAGAATACATTATGTATCTTTTTTGTCTTTGCATCTCATATAATAGGTCCAGTTTTCCTTCAGTGTTGTTAGTTCTTAAAATCAATTCAATTTAGGGTCCAAGTCTTTGCAATTTCTTATATAAACTCAACCGTAATGCTGCTTCCATCACCTGATTCTCAAAGAGTCGGCATCACAATTTACAGTTTAGCAAAAGAATGAATGAATCCCTGGAATATGCATACCTTGGCTGCAGGTATTTCTAATAAAGCTCCAAGTTCTTCAAAGGTAATGTTGTTATATAGTTTGCTTGCAGATAGCAAATTATGTTCAATGACAGCTCTGTCCAAAATACTAGAACCTAAGGAGGGGAAAAAAAATCTATGGATCAGCTACATGTTTAGCTACAAAAGAGTAAATATACATAATGCATACAATACATATGCCAATAATATATGCATATGTATGTGTTAAGGAAAAAAAATAGAAAGAAACAGGTATATATTAGTACAGTGAAACTTCCAATGAACAGTTCATTTGAGAAGATGGGAGTCCGTTAAATCCAAATGTCTGTTAAATTGAATGTACAGAATTTGCACCTATTTGTAGAAGACCCAGAGCCTGAGGCAGAGTCAAGAGAGGAATCAGTCTGGAGGCGTTCCCATAAGCAATCAGAGTCCAACCCTTGAGTTCTATGGGTGCCAGTTTAGTGATGACTGTTACTTGACTAGATTATTGTGTGTAGGCAAGAGTGATACATCTTAACTGGAAATAATTTCGAGACCCACGTGATGCCGCATAATGGAACAAGTTTGCGTCATTTGTTCCACCTCCTGCCAATCCAGCAGTTCAAAAGCGGGTGACTGTGGGTAAGATAGGTGGCTACCACTTCAGGGGCCAATTTAACAGAGACATGAAAGGACCCCCCTAGCCAGGCATTGCCTAGGCAACAATGATGTCACTGGCTAATCTTTCAACCCGGAAGTGCCTCAGTGCTTCCGACAGGAGAGCGAGAGTGGCTGGAATTTAACTTGCACTCCTGATTCTTCAGGGACGCGGTGGATCAGTGGCTAAGACGTTGAACTTGTCGATCAGAAAGGTTGGTAGTTCGAATCCCTAGTACCACATAATGGAGTGAGCTCCCGTTACTTGTCCAGGCTTCTGCCAACGTAGCAATTTGAAAGCATGTAAAAATGCAAGTAGAAAAATAGGAACCACCTTTGGTGGGAAGGTAACAGCGTTCTGTGCACCTTCGGCATTAAGCCATGTTAGCCACATGACCATGGAGACGTCTTTGGACAGTGCTGGCTCTTTGGCTTTGAAATGGAGATGAGCACCGCCCCCTAGAGTCAGGAATGACTAGCACTTATGTGCGAGGGGAACTTTTGCCTTTACTTTTTTACCTGATTCTTCATACCTGACAATTTTTGTCAACGGCATAAATGGCATTATTTTCAATAAAACCTAAATGTATGAACAAGTCCTTGATTTATGATTTTAAACAATGAAATTATTTATGTTAATCAGCTGAATTGAAATCCTCTACTACTTTCAAATGTCCTTTTCTGAGTGGCCAAAAATTCTACTGTTTAACCCATGGACGCTGACCACTGGTTCAGACAAGTATCTGCTTTTTGGCCCTTCTCACTTATTACTGCTGCTGCTAACTCATTTGAAAGACTTACTAGGGCTACAAATTAGATCTCTCCACAATGGGATCTCCTTGTCTAATAACATGCCTTCCCTTTTCTCTTCCATCATTCAATTATCTTAAAACTCGCATGCAAGTGCCAGAAATTTGGTTCTGTTTCTGCCTTCTCTCCCATTACAAAAAAAAAAAAAAAAAGAATCAACAGGCCACCTTGTTCTTCTATAACAGACAGCTGCTTCTACTGCAAAATGTTTCTGCTTGCAAACAGCAGGCATTCAGAGGGGAGGACTCTGATTAGCATAGGCCTGTGATGGTGCAGCTGTGGCACGTGTGCCACAGGCGGCACGTGGAGCCATATCTGCTGGCATGCATGGTCAGTTCTAGCGTGCAAGTGCGCACCAAAGCAGCTGATCTTTGGCCTTCCGGAGGCCCAGGATAGATAGGGCAATCTGTCCTATTTTTCATATACGTAAGCGTGAGAACAAAAATACAGAATTTTCCTTTCTGGATTCATCGCCTACTTTTTGGTGGCCTTCATCACCCTGGAAGTTTGTCATTTAGGACAGAATCCCAGTTTGCGTCAGGCAACCGGTTTGGTATTCATCTGAATCTAATAATGCATGTTGCCAGTGCATCTGTCAGCTGCCACCTTAACACTTGCTTCTGCTTCACTACCATGAACTCTGGGGAGGGGGGAATGCTTGGGGAAAAAGGAAAATGACTGCTGTATTTCACCCCCCAGCCCATCCCCAGCTGCTTCAAGGTCACCTGGCTGGGAAAAGGAAAGCAGCTGCTGTTCTGACCGACGATTCCCGAGACGCAAACGCAAACTCCTTGTCCCGACAAAAAACCCTTTTATTAATTTAAAGTGAATTCTGCTCATTCACATCCAGTAAAGTCTTTCGAGAGAGGATTTACAGTCACTTGTTTGGCTTGGAGAGCTGACAGGCTGATATCTCCGAAACCTGGCCAGGAATCTCGGAGAGTTACGAACCAATTAAGCAAACTAATTGCCTCCTGCAAACTCCACTCCCCTTTCGCTCCTCTTTTATTTCCTCTGGGAGGAGACATTTATCATCCACCCATGGCTTGACTCCCAAGTTGAACCGTTCTTTACCTGTCCTTTTCGCCTGGGAACTCTGTGCATGCGCACAGTGGGAACAGGCTCCAGCTGTTCATCTGCCTCACTGCTGTCTCACTGTCTCTGAAGGCAGCTGATAACTGGCATACGGCTCTGGCTCCCTCTCTGCCTCCAACACAGAGCCCTCGTCCGAGCCTTCCCCAGACTCCAGGACCGGCCCATGTTGCTCCCCAACCTCCTCACTGTCCGAATCTGCTGCCAGTTCCACTGACTGCTGGCGGGCCACAACAGCTGCATACCACCTATGCTTCAAGTGACCATTCTGAAAACATCTTGCTTGAATGAGGTAAATGGGGGGGGGGAGATCAGCAATGGGTGGCAGTTAAGGGATGGAATAGTTTTAATTCGGGGATTTTCGGCGCACACTTCTCAGTTCTGGCTATGGATTAGTGCGATGCACTTGACTTCAAATCATTTGTATTTAGAGGTTTAAGTG